GGACTTGATGGAGGCACTGAGGTCCCCACGTGGGGCAGTCACCAGAGGAAGATCACGAGAGTCGGGAGTGCCAGTTTGCCATGCCATTCAGTGAGGTCTTCAGAGTGGAGGGCAAGGAAAGCAGGGGCCATGCTGGGGCCATGGAGGGGGGAGGAGCTAAGCCATGTGGGCCCAAGGGAATGGTGGGTGGAGCCAGTCCATGGGGACCAGGAAAACTCCCAAACACCAAGGAGTTAGCCACTATCCCTCAGAATTTCTAGGCTGACTAAAACAGTACCCCATACCACACTGGGCACACTGCGTGGCCTCAATTCTGTTCCACTCAGTCCTTATTCTGTCACTCACCCCTGGAGGAGACCTCTGTTCACTCAAACCCTGTGTTCCACAAGCAAAGAGGAGAATCAGGTGATTGCTGAGTTTATTGGAGCTGGAGAAGCTGACAGGTAGAAGTCGAGGACCAGAGAAATGGGAGGAAGAGAGGGAGGGAAAGCGACCCAGAGGGCAGGAGGGAGGAGGAAGAGCTCAGGTCAACACAGTGGACATGTGAAGAACCTGTCCTGGGGAGGGGCAGTCACCTAATCCAGGTCAGGAGCAGACTGAAGGGGCTATGAGAAGGACATGGAGAGGGGACATGGGTCTGCTGGCTCTGGGGACCGTGCCCATCAGCAGGTGGACCCACAGCAGGTGAGGCGGAAGCAGGTAGGGTGACAGAGCAGGGACACACTGGAGGCTGCTGGGCCACAGCAGCTGGGCTGGCAGGAGGAGGCACAGCAGGAGGAATCAGGCACACAGCAGGTGGGCTTGCACACAGGGTGGCAGAGCAGGGACACGCTAGAGGAGGGCTTGCAGCAGACGGGCACACAGAAGTACTGCTGGCAGGGGGAGGAGGAGCAGCAAGAGGGCTCACAGCTAGACTGCTGGCAGGATGAGGAAGAATCCCCAGAGCAGACGGGCACACAGCACATGGGCTTGCAGCACACGGGCACACAGCAGGACTGCTGGCAAGGGGAGGAGGTGCAGCAGCTGGTGCAGACTGGCTGACTGCAGGGGCTGGACACACAGCTCACTGGGGAGCAGATGAGGGTCAGGCAGGAGGCTGGGGCACAGCAGCTGGACTGGCAGCAGCTGGGCTCACAGCAGGGCTCGCAGTAGCTCTCTTGGCAGTCGTCCACCTGCCAGGAAGAGCCGGTGCAAGTGCTGGGTGAGCAGACTCAGCTGCAGCCATCACTGGAGGTGACAGACATGGTGGACACAGCAATGACACAAGTCCTGGAGCAGCAAGGGTCAGCCATGCTGGCAGTGTGGAGCTGGGGTGTGTGTGAGTGTGTTGTGCCTGTGAGGTCCCTGGACTCCCGGGTTTTATGCTCCTCCCTGGTGTTTTCCTGGCATCAGCCTCACGGCCTTCCCTTTCCTTGTTGCTCACAGTCTTCTGAGGACAGCCCCGGGCAGTTTGCTTCCGTGGGTGTTGGGTGCAGCAGGTCAGACTGAGTAGTTGGAGGGTGGCTGCTTTCTTGCAGGCACATTTGTGCTATGAACACAAGACAGGTGATGCTGCAACTGTGGGTGCACCTGGTGTGACTGGATCAGGAGCTGACATTTGGGACTCTGGGACCTGGCATCTTTGCTGCTCTTCTTCCTTTAGGGACATTTACTCCAGCATGTGCCCCCAGCTGACCAGGTGCCTCCTCCAGGGAACTGTGGCATGTTGTCTGGGAACGATCTCCCCTCACTTACCCACTACACCTACCTGCTCATCCACGGGCCCTGAGGTGGTCCTCTTTCCTCCTGGCAACTGGCACCTGAGGGGCTAGCCTGGACACCGTTCTTGGTTCTCCTGTTTATCCAATAATTATTAAGTAACGTGTGAATCTTGCTATTCTTCAGTTTTCAGTTTTAGATGTGATATGATTTCACCCCCAGCCTGGTGAGGACCCCCCACCCCACCCCATCCTCTAAAGGTAGGGCCACCCAACACTTGGATGGGCCGCGCTCAGAATCGGAGTTATTTCTGTTGAGTCTCGTTCATAGCCAAGTGCTATAGTGGGGGTAGACTTAATGTCCTCACTGGTCCACATTTTGGTTTTGCTTGTGTTCTTCCCCTCTTGGAGTTAACAATGGCTTCTTTTGTTTGCTTCCTTATTTTCTTGTGTACCTATCATTAAATTCTTCCAGAAATCTCTGACTAATTCACCCCCAGCTCCACCGAGAGGTTCAAACACGTCAGTCACAATCAGATTCACGGCTTTGTAAACATTGTCTGCGTCCCTCTGCCTTTGTGGGCCAATTTCTGTCGGCCGTTCCCTCCGCCTGGTGCACAGGTGTTGCCCTGGCATCTCCCTTCACTGCTGTCTGTGTTTGTTTTGAGACAGGGTTTTGCTGTGTAGCCCAGGCTGGCCTCAAACTCGATAACTAGTCCAGGTTGCCCTTGATCTTGAGATCGTCTTGCCTGAGCCTCCTGCGGGCTGGGATTACAGGCATGCACCTCGAGTCCAGCACTCTGTCACTATCATCTTCGGGTTTTCTTCTATGATAGATCCATTAATTCCTAGACACCTTAACTTGTTCTTTCTGCATTTATGCCCTTGTTTTTATGCAGCGCACCCTCCAGTAGCATTCTGGAAATGCATGGTAGATATATTTTGAGCTACAGCTTAAGCAAAATGCCTTTGTTCTGTCCTTCCACTCTGTGGATGGCTTAGCTGGGTATAAACTTCTGTGTTGGAAAGGTTCCCTAAGACTATTGTATTGTAATAACGCAGAGCGTTTCCAGATCTAGATGACGCTGTGGTGTCTCCCTTCCCTGAAGAGGTATTTGCTGGAGGTGGAATGGAGGTGTCATTCTGCCTTTCCTCCCTGCTGGTGAGCACAGCCTGGTCTGTGAGCTTTTTTGCCTGTGGCTCCTTTTGCTCCACAAAACGTCTGTGAGAAGCACCCAAGTCACTACAGGCATCACTGGCCCCTCCCATTTTTCTAATTAATTTATTTGTTTTTTTTGTATTGTAAACTGTTACATTAAAACTACTACATTGTATAATGAAGCTACAAAAATTGATAGAGAGGTGAACTCATTTCTCTTCATCACATAACCCAAAATGGAATTCCTAGGTCATGTGACAGGCATGTATTTAGTCTAGCAGATTCAACTTTCTGGAGAAATTCAAATCCCTACTCACTGAGTTCACGAACGGTCATTCTACATCTTTGCAAATGAGATATTGCCAGACTTTAAATTTTCATGCATTTTGCAAAGTCTTGGGAAAATCACCTTTGTGCATAATTTACCCACTGCTGAGTAGAGATGCTCATTGAATCTTTGGATCTCTTATCTTGTGGGGACCCCTGTTCAGGTTGCTAGTTTTGGGGGGGTTAGTATTTACATTTCCCATTGATTTATAGAAAAGTCTTATCCATTTTGCATGTGAGGTCTTTGTTGTTTGTGTGCAACAGCAGGTTGGTAACTGTTCAGTAACTTGCTGTCTGTGAAGCAAACACAAAACAAAAGCCCTGATGTGTTGCATTTTCCAATTTCCCTGGTGTCAGTGCTCCCACCATGGCTAAATTCAAGCTGCCACCACAGTGCTGCTGAATGTGGAGCTGGGGAGAAAGCTGCACAGCCACCTTGTGCCCGGAGGGTAACTAGCTCCAGGGCACCGCGGGTGTGTGAGTCACAGAGAGCTCACCCCGGCACAAAGTCAAAAACATCAGCTTTGTTGAGGTTGGATTTACAGGCTGCCCAAAGCGTTTAAAGTTACCACGTGATGGGTTTTTAGGAACGTGTTCCTGTGTAACCCCACCAGCAGTAGGGCTGGGACTGTGCCTTGTACCAGAGTTCTGTGTGTCCTGTTCAGCCCAGCTGCTGCCAGATCGGTGCCATCTCTAGGGGTTTGTCTGTCTGCATGTCACCCCTTCTCTCGACACCCCCACACATAATTATGCATCCCCATGTGGCAGGTGAGGTGATAACACGATGTGTTTGTCACTCAACTGCCAACGAACGGGAAAGCTTTGTGGACCATCTCTGTGTGGACATGTGACCTCATTTCTCCTGGTACCCAGGGATGGGATGTTTGGGTCATGTGCTCGGTGTGTTTAATGTTGAATAGATGGTCAGACTCTTTTTCAAAGTGATGGCACCGTTTTACACTCCCACCCTAGCAAAGGCACGACAGTTGTTTCCCCCACGTTCTTACAGAATCTGGTATGGCCATCCTGCCCCAAGAACTCTTTCCTGCACAGGCCTGAGGGGCTGACCCTGCTGGGGAGACTTGCTGGGCAGTCACCACGAAGGGTCGTTGCTCCCAGGATCAGTTCACTCACCCTTTGTGTTCCTCCCGTCCAAGTACTAGCCAGCCCCGACCTGCTGAGCTTCCGAGACCAGCTGAGCACACGGGGCCGTAGACACCCTTTGTGCTCCTGAACCTGTGTCTGTCTGTACATGCGACCAGGATGGTGGGGGCTTCCTGGGCACCTCTGAAGGGGCAGGGCCATGGTGCTCTTGATTTCGGCTGAGACTGGAGACACCAGGCAGGGCCTTCCAAGTGAACAACAAGAACATGCTTAGATGCTTCAGAAAAGGAATTTATTGAGCAGTCTAACAAACCACAGAGTCAAGGACAAGATGGAGGCAGAGGCTCAGAACCTGGGAGAAGCCAGAGTCAACCAGGTGCCACCTGCAGAAACCCCTTCCTAGGCATGGGGACAGGGATGACAAACAACTCCAGAGAGGTCTTCTGCCTTTGGTTCACTGCACACAGGAGTGACAGCCTGAGAGAGCCCAGCCTTGTCACTGTGGTCACTGCTCACTGCTGCAGGGCAGGACCAGCCTGTTGTTCACTGGGGAAAGTCAGTGCTAAGACTACACTGGGCCACTCCAAACGAGTGGGTGGCAAGTGATGGCTAATCTGGACTGGAGATTTGGACAGCTGTCAAGGCCATTACCAAAGAAGCTAGGGATACAGGTGGCAGTGAGCTCCCAAACTTTTGGATGACCTGAAGATCACTCAACAACTAGACTTCTGGCCTAAGAAGAGGCCACAGCAGGCCGGGCGGGAGCAGGCTGGACGGCAGAGCAGGGACACACAGGAGGCTGCTTGGCGGCAGCAGCTGGGCTGGCAGGAGGAAGCACAGCAGGAGGAATCAGGTACACAGCAGGAAGGTTTGCACACAGGGCGGCAGAGCAGGGACACACTGGAGGCCGCTGGGCCACAGCAGCTGGGCTGGCAGGAGGAGGCAGACACCCAGCAGGTGGGCTTGCACACAGGGCAGCAGAACAGGGACACACTGGAGGCCACTGGGCCACAGCAGCTGGGCTGGCAGGAAGAGGCACAGCAGGAGGAATCAGGCACACAACAGGAAGGTTTGCACACAGGGCGGCAGAGCAGGGACACGCTGGAGGCCGCTGGGCCACAGCAGCTGGGCTGGCAGGAGGAGGCACAGCAGGAGGAATCAGGTACACAGCAGGCGGGCTTGCACACAGGGCGGCAGAGCAGGGACATACTGGAGGAGGGCTTGCAGCAAATGGGCACACAGCAGGACTGCTGGCAAGGGGACGAGGAGCAGCAAGAAGGCTCACAGCTAGACTGCTGGCAGGATGAGGAGGAATCCCCAGAGCAGACAGGCACACAGCACATGGGCACACAGCAGAACTGCTGGCAGGGGGACGAGGTGCAGCAAGAGGGCTCGCAGCTAGACTGCTGGCAGCACGAGGGCGTGCAGAAGCTGGTGCAGACTGACTGACTGCAGGGGCTGGACACACAGCTCACTGGGGAGCAGATGAAGGTCAGGCAGGAGGCTGGGACACAATAGCTGGGGGCACAGCTGGGCTGGCAGCAGCTGGGGGCACAGCAGGGCTCGCAGCAACTCTCTGGGCAGTCGTCCACCTGCCAGGAGGCGTCAGTGTAAGCATCAGAGCAGACGGACATGGTGGACATGTTCATGGTGGGGATTGGGCTGGAGGAGGGTGTGTGAGTGAGTGAGTGAGTGAGTGTGTGAGTGTGTGAGTGTGTGAGGTGCTGGGTCTGTCAGCTTTTATACCCCCAGTGTGTGTGTTGTCCCTACAGGATGCTCAGCTGCTCCCTCCATCCTTGTTTGTGTGAGAACCCAGGGCCTCTCATTAGTGCCCGTTTCTTGTTTAGTTCTGAAACTCTACTCAGCTTGTAAAGTCCCAGGTGTATGCTGGGCCTCTTGACTCATCCTCACTCACCTTTAGTCCCGGAAGGTCATGTTGGGGACAGGGTTTATTTTTGCAAACAGGGTTCCGCAGGGGTTCATGCTGGCAGCAGGAAAACGTCTTCCTCCTAATCCCAATCACCCCTGGCCAATGGCAGACGCCCTGTTCTCATCTGAGAACTCCACCTGTCTGGGCAACTGAGCTTCCAGAGAGCCAGGCGGGAGGGCCCTGGACAAAGGGGCTTAGTGTGGAAGTTTCTAGAATTGAGTCCCCTGCACCCCGTCCAGGGCAGGAGACAAGCAGTAGGGTGGACAGTGGAGTGGCAGTGGCAGTATTTCCCCTGCAGATAACCGAGGTGGGTGGTGCACAGTCTCCATCTCCCACCTGATCACTTATGGACCTGTCCGCATGTCTGTCCACAGCCATCCCACGTCCAGGTAGTTTTACCCCAAACATCACAACTGCGTGTACACCAGGGCACTCCCCAAACCTCTCTGCAGAGATCGCAGCCCTGACAGAGCCCGTGAAACAGCAGGGGACACTGCTGCCTCTTATTTGTCTTGGTTTCTGGACAATTCCCTGGGTCACCCTAGCCAGACTCCTGAGCCCTGAGCGTGTCTGAGGAGCCCTTGCTTCTCAAGTAAGATCCAGTTGGCCGTGGGGTCCTTTGACTCTTCCTGTGAAATGTTTCAAATCCTTTTACTTCCACTTATTCACAATGCAGCCAGTTCTCCTGTGGTCTGGAAACTTCAGGTTTAAGAACTTCAGGGACCATGAATAGGCCGTGACCGTGACTAGGAGCCCTGGTCAGTGTACAAGGTGGGCTGCTGGCTTCCCTATGATGCCATGGCTGGCTGGTGCACATGAAGCCCTGACGCAGGTGGACAGGCTGGATGAGGCCCTTCTTTGTCTCTCTGCGTGGTTCGTAAACCAGGTCTCTCAGGAATGGAGGGAAAGGCTTCAGGGCTCTAGAAATTCAATTTCATTGTAGGCTGAGTCATCAGCCTTCACATTTTGAATGATAAAATTACAAATTTGAGCTGGTCTGGCTCCTCCAGAGGTCCAGAAACTGCCATGTGGCTTCCATGGAGAGGGACTGCTTCTTTATTATTATTTTTATTTTATATTATTTTCTTTTTAATTATCACGGTATTGTTGTACTGGGGGTACATTGTGAAATTTACAAAAGTGTTTACAATATATCCCAGTTAAATTCATCCCCTCCGTCATTCTCCCCCTCCCCCACTTCTTAGAAGAGTTTCAACAGGTCTCATTTTCATAAATATTTCTACCATTTTCACCTTCCTTCACCATATCCTTACATCCACCCCTTTCTACTGGTGCCAACAGGACCAGTAGGACCTGCTTTCCTTGAGGGAAAACAGGACCTGTTTTCCTTGAGAGCTGCTTCATCTGTGATGACAGGCTGTGATAGACTCACTCCTGCTGAGAACTTGAAAATCTGAATTCAAATTTTCTACAATATTCCTTTAAAGGATTTGAGGGATTCTGATGTGAGATTCTGATGAATCTCTCAAATGAAGAGGTGGCATCCAAAAAAATGGAGGTGTAGCAACTCTGGATGAGAGGTCCAGCATGAGAGCCAATGACCCTGAAGGTGCAGCTGGGCTTCTCGGTGCAGGGCAGAGGGCAGCTGCAAAGACGTGGGGAGTCAGGAGAAACTCTGGCAATCTCAGTGGGACTTGGTGAGCAGCAAGGACTCAGGGAACAAGGTCCCAGAGGATAAGAAATACTAGTAACAGCTCAATAATGGATGTTGGACCCCCAGGCATTTGCCCAGCTTTCATGCTATGGAAGAGACAAAGAAGAAAGCAGAAAGGCACTATAAAGCCACCCAGAGCTTCTAGAATCTTTCATATACAATGTCACATGTTTAAGCAAGACCTACAGTGATGCTGAGAACTCAGACTAAGAGACTAAATGGACCATAGAAACAGACCCAAAGGTGAGGCAGCATTGGAATTACTGGATTCAGATCTAAAAGACTGAGGTTAATAAAATTAAGAAAATAGATGTAGCAATGGAGAATACTATCATAAAACTGAAGTAAATAAAAAAGAACTAATTATAAATTCTATACCTGAAAAAATTTGGATAATTGTATTTATGGACTGATGGATGGGATAATAGTAGAATGGACAGGCTGTGAACTGGAAGTGATGAAGTGGCCAGGATGAAACTGGAGAGTAAAGATGACAAAAATAGTAAATAAATGTGTAGCTTATGGCAGAGAAATTTCATATTTTTCCTTTGCCTTTGAAGTCAGAGGAAAAAATGGGGGAACATTTGAAGAATAACTGTAAAGACTTTTCCAAAGCTAAGACTCAAGTTACAAGTTCATGATGTGCTAGAAAAACAACCAAATGTGACCATTATCAAGGCAAAGACAAGTCATTGAAAATGACCAGAGGTGAAGGACAGCTTCCCTTCCACACCACATCATTAAGACTTACAGGAACAGGGGAAGAAAAGCACTGGGTGGCATCTTTAAGGGACTGAAGGACAATAACTGCACACCTGGGACTCCAGCCCAGGGAGAACACCATCCACAGGGGAGGGGAAACAGACACTGGCAGACCAGCAATGACAGCAAACCCATCTCCAGCAGGCCCACCTTGAAGGGGACACCAATAGGAGTGATCAACAAATATCAGAGAATGGAGATTTTTAGAGCCAGAAGTGTTACAAGAGGTGAAGATGTCCCATGAAGTTAAAAAGATCTACCCACTAGGAAGATGCAGCAACTCCAAATTCAAATATACCTAATCACATAGCTTAAAACATACAAATAAAAAATTCACAGGCTAAAAGTAAAACAACAGAAAGGTAAAATCAGAGTAGGGGACATTGATACACCTCTCAATAATCAATAGAAATGGAGACAATACAGGAAAGCAATGTGAGTCAACTCCCCATATAGCTATCCTTATCTCAACTATCAAAAACCCTTGGTCCTTCCTATTGTTGCTTATACTCTCTCTTCAACAAAATTAGAGATAAGGGCAAAATAGTTTCTGCCTGGAAGCGAGGGGGTGGGGTGGGGGAGAAAGGGGGGTTGAGGGGTTAAGGGAGGGTGTGGGGGTAAGGGGGGAGAAATGACCCAAACATTATATGCACATATGAATAAAAAAAAAGAAAGAAAGAAACAGAGACAATAATGGATGGATGGGTGGGTGGGCGGTGGATGGATGGAAGAGTGGGTGGGTGGATGGATGTATGGATGGATGGAAGTGTGGGTGGGTGGATGAAAAGGTGAGTAGATGGGTGGATGGGTGGAAGGGTGGATGGATGGATGGATGGGTGGGCGGGTGGATGGATGGATGGAAGTGTGGGTGGATGGATGGATGGATGGATGAAAGGGTGGATGGATGGATGGATGGATGGTTGGATAGAAGGGTGGGTGGATGGATGGATGGATGGATGGATGAGTGGATGGATGTATGGGTGGGCGGGTGGATGGATGGAAGAGTGGGTCAATGGGTGGATGGATGGATGGAAGGGTGGATGGACGGATAGATGGATGGATGGATGGATAGATGGATGGATGGATGGATGGATGGATGGGTGGGTGGGTGGATGGATGGAAGAGGGGGTGGATGGATGAATGGAAGGGTGGGTCAGTGGATGGATGGATGGAAGTGTGGGTGGATGGATGGATGATGGATGGATGGACAGATGGGTAGATGGATGGATGGAAGTGTGGGTGGATGGATGGATGGATGGAGGATGGGTGGATAGATGGATGAATGAGTGGATGGATGGATGGAAGGGTGGTTAGGCAGGTAGATGAATGAATAGATGATAGGCAGACCATTGATCTGCACTACTTATGGATCCTGCATTTGTGAATTTTTACCATCTAATACTTACTTGCCACTCCAGTCAGTACTTGTCCCTCTGTGGTCTCCCGTGGACATCAACAGAGCTGGGTGACCCAAGGCTCCTGGTGCATGTGCTCCAGCAGGGTGGGACGAGGTGATGCTGTGCCTTCTTTCAGCTCTCATCCTGAAGACAAGCATTCTTCTACAGTCCCCTTAGTGCTGTGTGGTTTTGCTGTATAGAATGTCCCTGAGGGCGGGGTGCCAGGGCTGTGCTGTCTTCAACTCAAGGCTCGTGTGTCTTAGGAGAAAATACCTGTGTTCAGGCTGCATTCTATCTGCTGTCTGTGAGTTCAATGTTAATGAAATAATACAGATTAATAAACGTGTCTGTAGATGGAAACACATCAAAAAAGGTCATTTGTTGATTGGTTAATGAACACATTGGGACCAGCAGCTTTTGGGAACCCAACCTGTGCATCCTCCGGCACCATCAGCTCATTCAGTGTTGGTGACTTGTAAAATGATGAGAATGGCTGTGAACGCATGCATGTCGGGAGGGGAGAGAGGAAGGGAGAGAAGAAGGGGTGAGAAGAGCTGCTTCCGGAGGACAGAATGGGGTGGGTGCTGGCAACAGGTGGCGGGAGGCTCACTTTTTTTTGATACAATTTCCATCATCTAATCAGGTTATGCTTCTCTTTAGGAAAGGGACACTAAGCCTTCTAGCAGTGCTTGGGAGACAGGCTGGGTAACCAGACAGGCAGAAGGACTGGTGAAGGGTGTCAGCAGCCTTGGAGGAGGGTTGAGCACACAAAAGAGAGGGCCAGAGAGTTGTTGAGGCTGTGCACCCCGCCACTGCTCCTTCTGCTCAGAATGCCTGACCCATGGTCCAGGAGGCTGCCATCATGGCTGAGGGGAGACTGGGATGGGGGCACTGAGAAGGGTTTGGACCAGGGACAGCACTTCTCTAGAACCAGCTTCCTGCAAAGGGAGCAAAGCCCTGCGCTGCCGGGCCAGTGGCTGGACGAAGCCCAGCAGCCATGGAGGGACCACGGCAGGTCCCACCATGCAAGCCCAGCCTCACTGCTCACAGAGCCCACACTGGGCACGTGCTGGTCCTGTTGCTGCTCCTGGGGCAGACGCTGGCTGGGGAAGAACAAGCTGGACAACATCCCATGCAAACAAACACCCTAATGAGCGGGTCACCAACAGGAAAGGAGGCTGTGGGCCAGACAACAGCACAGGGATGGGTATAAAAGCCATCATCCCAGCACCTCACACACACACTCACCCACTCACAACTCACACACTCACTCACACACCCTCCTCCAGCCCAATCCCCACCATGGCCATGTCCACCATGTCCGTCTGCTCTGACGCTTGCACTGATGCCTCCTGGCAGGTGGACGACTGTCCAGAGAGCTGCTGCGAGCCCTGCTGTGTCCCCAGCTGCTGCCAGCCCAGCTGCTGTGCCCCTGGCTGCTGTGTCCCAGCCTCCTGCCTGACTTTTGTCCCAGTAAGCTGTGTGTCCAGCCCCTGCAGTCAGTCAGTCTGCACCAGCTTCTGCACGCCCTCGTGCTGCCAGCAGTCTAGCTGTGTACCCGTGTGCTGCAAGCCTGTGTGCTGTGTGCCCATGTGCTGCAAGCCCGTGTGCTGTGTGCCCGTCTGCTCTGGAGATTCCTCCTCATCCTGCCAGCAGTCTAGCTGTGAGCCCTCTTGCTGCTCCTCCTCCCCCTGCCGGCAGTCCTGCTGTGTGCCCGTCTGCTGCAAGCCCTCCTCCAGCGTGTCCCTGCTCTGCCGCCCCGTGTGCAAGCCCGCCTGCTGTGTGCCTGATTCCTCCTGCTGTGCCTCCTCCTGCCAGCCCAGCTGCTGTGGCCCAGCAGCCTCCAGTGTGTCCCTGCTCTGCCGCCCTGTGTGCAAGCCCGCCTGCTGTGTGCCTGATTCCTCCTGCTGTGCCTCCTCCTGTCAGTCCAGCTGCTGTGGCCCAGCAGCCTCCAGTGTGTCCCTGCTCTGCCGCCCTGTGTGCAAGCCCGCCTGCTGTGTGCCTGATTCCTCCTGCTGTGCCTCCTCCTGCCAGCCCAGCTGCTGTGGCCCAGCAGCCTCCAGTGTGTCCCTGCTCTGCCGCCCTGCCTGCTCCCGCCCAGCCTGCTCTCTCCCGGTCTGCTGTGGCCTCTCCTCAGGCCAGAATTCCAGCTGCTGCTAGGTTCAGCTCAGGACCAGCAGGCTCAGGTCCCTCCCCATGGGCTCCTCACACCCCCTCAGTCTGCTCCTGACATGGGTTACGCACGTTCCCCAGCCCAGGACGGGGCCCCCATGTGTCCATTGTGCTGACCTGAGCTCTCCCTCCTCACTCTTTCCTCCCAGGAAAGAGTGCCCTCTGCATCTCTATCCCTCCTTCTCCGTTCTTCTGCTCTGAGTCGCTTGTCCTTGACCTCCACCTGTCAGCTCCTCCCAGACTCCAATAAACTCAGTGATCACCTGACTCTCCTCTTGCGTTTGTATGAGTGACACTGTCTCCTCCAGCCACTATTTCTAGGAGAGAGTGACTTAGCCTTAAAATCACAAGGGCTGGTGCTAACTCCCCTGGGAGTCACAGGTGGCACTCGGGGCCTTACCTAGACAGACCCAGTCCCAGACATGGCCTGGCTGGCCACCCACAGACATGCCCTAGGTTCTTCAGACCCCTGTGCACCATCCCTCCCATTGTTCCACAAGTACTTTCCCCTCCACCCCTACACCCCTGGGAAGCAGGTTCTTGGGCTCCAAGCACAGTAGCCTCTTAGGCCTGGGTCATCCTGTGTGTCTGTCACCTGACAGCTTCTACACGTTCAGCAGAGCGGGGATGGGGAGAGAGGAGCTGTCCCAAGCTTTTAGATGAGAAACTCGATGGGAACAGAAGCCCTGTCAGGTGGGAGGGAGGACACACTGGCAGCCCTGGAGCAGGGCACAGGGTCCTCTGCCAGGACCATCAGACTCTGTGTGTGCTGTCAGGGACAGTCACAGCTGCAGGGCTGTGTCACACCTCCATGCACAAAGGGCCATGGACAGCAGCCCCCTCTGACCTCATGATGACCTTGGTGACACCCAAGGACACAGGTGGGCAGCCCCATGCTGACAACTGAGGAAATTTCTAGACAGGATGACTCGAGGAGCTGTGTCCATGGTCGGAGGTGTTGAAGCCAATGGACCACCATCCAGTACATGTCCCGAACGACCGTGTCCATACTCACCCCACCCCAGCCCCATGGACTAGGCCCTGCCTCCCTCTGGGGTCCCCTCTCCCATCCCACAGGCCCGTGTCCACAGCAGAACCCACAAACAGAGCCCCTGCTGTCCCAAGAAGGCCTCAGCCCCTGTCACTCCTGTTCTCCAACCTGACACCCAGGACCTGGGCTGTGACTTCCAAACCCTTGGCCTCCGTACACCACGAGCCCTGGATGCCCAGGGCGCCACCTTGCTACCAAGAACACAGACATCTGTTCCTGGCTGTACATTGATAGTTGATTCCATTCCGTTGTTGAACGGGCACAGCACTGAGTCTGTGCACCTGCACAGCACACCTGGTTGTCTCCAGGTCTCGATTGACGGACGAAGCCTCCAGGAACAGAGGCTCTCAGAATGTGCGAGCAAATGTTCCCATGTCCCCTGGTTGGATCCTAAGGAGTAGCACTGTCCAGCTTGCAATAGGATGGGGTTACCTGAACTCCTAGCAGCCATGTTGTTTTCCATCCCTACCAGCCATGATGAGGGTGGCAGGCATTCCCTGCCTCCACACCAGGTGTTTTGTCCTGGGCCCTCCAGCCTCCCTGGTGACCACTGTGTGTGGCGTCTTCTCCTGCTTCTTTACCATTTCTGCATCTTCTTCAGCGAGGGGCTGATTTTTTTTTAATCAGATTGTGTTCTTCCGAAGGTGGAAGCATTCTTTAGACATTCTGGACACCCGTTCTTGTCATATCTGGATGGACGTATGCTGCAAACACTGTCCCCGGCTCTGTATCGCCTGAGCAGTGTTTAAGAGCAGAGCCTGTCATTTTGATGGTGTCCAGTTCAACCTGTTATCTTCAGTGGTCTAAGAAGACTTTGCTTAGGTCAAAACCAGCCAGATCGCTGCTCTGTTTGCTTCCAGGTGTTTCCTGCTTGCGGCGTTAGCTCAGTTCTAGAATCCTCTGCAGGTTAATTTTCTAATGTGCTGTGAGTTGCTCCATCTTCATTGTCCCCTGAGCCACTGTGGTCAGTACCCTGCTGGCCATATCTGTGTGGCTCTATTCTGCTCCATTCTTCTACCATTTATTCTTGAGACGCACATTGCCTCTTCTATTGGTGCAGTGTCAAATTAAATCTTTCATTTACTTATTTTTAGTATTATTTTTATAGGGCTGGGGTTTGAACTCAAGGCCAGGCAGGTGGTCTGCCACGCCCCCAGCCCTTTTTGCTTTAGCCCAGGGCCAGCCTTTGAGACCCTCCTACATATGCCTCCCACGTGGCTGGGATTACAGGCACTCACCACCATGCCACACCCCTAAACGAAACCCTGAAATCAAACAGTGCAAGTTCTCCAACTGTGTTTTTCTTTTCAAGATTTGTTGGCTGTTCTAGGTCCTTTGCATTTCCCCCATAGATTTTATTTAGAACCAGCTCATTAATTTGGACAGAAAAGCCCACTGGAGTTTGACTAATATTACACGAAATCTGTAGATTTAACCAAGTCATTCAATCCACAAACACGATATACTTCTCTGTCATTTAGGATTTCTTTAATTTAGCAATACTTTGTCATTTTTAGCATATGGACTGTTAAGGTCTATATACTAAAATAGCATATATCTATTTTAAGTTAGTCTATCATTTTCTTTTTTAAATTATTATCATTTTCTTTTTAGTTAATAGTTTTATAACCAGAGTCCTAGGCCAAAGGCCCAATTCCAGGGATTATAACATGTCAGGTTTGGCTACTTATCCCTAAAAAAGCAAACAGAAAAGTAATGGTGGAAAGGCAGGAAAGGATTTTAATCCCAGAGTCATGTGAGGATGGAGATGGAGCAGCCCAGCCCATTTTCAGGCACTGGCAGGAGCTTTTGGTTCAGAGAAGAGTCAGGGAGGGGACAGGTGTGCGTGGTCCACAGTCTCAGTCAGGGTGTGGCCTGGCTGGTCCTCATCAGCTCTGATTCTGCGAGGTGGCTCCAGACAAGTCCTTATCATTCAAGGGGACAATCCAGGCTCCCTGAGATGATGGCTTCTGCCCAGAAAGGAGGTGGCAGCCTCAGTTTCCCCTGTGGACTAAATGCTCCCATTTGGGGGTGATGTCATCATGGGGTGATCTGTGCGCCAGGCTCTCTGATCCTGGAATCCCCAGGTGACCGCAGATTTGGGACAATGACTGGGGACACAGGCGTCTTGGCAGGGCTGTGGAGTGGCACATGGTGAAAGCTGACGGTGGACGCCCCATTGCTCTCTGCGCCTTCAGCCTTCTGGGGACGGTAGGCGAGGTGTCACCAGGGTTTAGCCTCTGAGGGCTTCGTGCGCCTGCTGCAGAGTTAAGCAGGGGTCTGACCCGGAGTTTTAGACACAGGAGAGGACGGGAAGGAAGGCAGGGACGCAGGCTTTGTCCTGCTTTTAGGGGACAGCAGCCCAGGTGAGGACCCGTGCTTTGTAGCAGAGCAGTTTCTAAGGATCCATTACGGTTTGTTTCTGATTTCCACCTGTGTAGAAAGACACTTTTGTACGCTGACACTTTTGCATGGTGCAACGCACTGTGTACCTTTCCTAAATTTGCTCTTGAACTCCACAGATTTTCTGTGTAGCCCTTGATCTTGTTAGTGCATGATCAAGTTGAGTGACTAGACAGATGTCCACCTCCCTTTCCTTCTATTCTTCTATTCTTCCTATCTGTCTTTCTTCTTTTGGCAGCACTGGGGTTTTGAACTCAGGGCATGGTGCTTGCTAGGCAGGTGCTCTTCCACTTCAGCCACGCCTCAGACCTTTTTTACTTTATTTTTCAGATAGGGTCTCAAGGTTTTGACTCTTCTACATATGCCTCCTGTGTAGCTGGGATTGCAAGCGTGTTTGCTGATGCCTGGCTTGTTTTGGAGATAGATTTTCTGTACTTTTTGCCCATGCTGGCCTTGAACTACAGTCTTCATAATCTCTGCCTTGCAAGTATCTGGAATTACAGGCTTGAGCCATCACACCCAGCCCCTTTCATTTCTTTTTTCATCTTACTGTCCTGTTAGGGACCTGGGGTGCAATGCTGAGTGATGTAACAAGAGTAGACATATTGTCCCACCCCTGGTCTTGGGGAGAAACCCTTCTGTCTTTCTTCATAACATCTGAAGGAAGTTCCCTTTTATTTCTAGTTTGCTGGGATCTTTTTCTTAAATGAACAGACGTTGAGTTTTGTCAAATGGCTTTTTTTCACCTATTAACAAGATCATAGGGCCTTTTCCTTTTGTTTGTTGATTGATTTTTAAATGTTAAGCCAACCTAACACTCCAGAAGTAAACTCATTTAGCTGTGTTTCTTATCCCTCTCAAATATTGCTGGGTTTATTTGCTGTTTGTTGAGAATTTTCTACCTCTTGTCATGAGATAGGAGGACATATGGTTTTTTCTCCTCTCGACGTGCTTGTCGGCCTTGGCACTAGGGAGGCTAAGAATTTCTCTCCCTGTCTGGTTTTCGAAATGGTTTGGGGAGATCAGCCCCACTTCTTCCACAAATCTGAAGAGTCCAGCCGTGGAGACGTTGGGTTTAGCGTTTTCTTCTTGAGAAGAGTTTTAACTATGGATTCAATCCCTTCCATTGGTAGAGGAATGATACTCAGCTTATGTTTTTCTTGCGTTAGCTTTTATCATTTGTGTCTTGCCAGCTTTTTGCGTGGGTGTTTTGTCTAAGTCATCGACCATATTGGCATACAGTTGTTTGCGTGGTTTTGATCAGCCTATGAATACTGCAGAATCTGGGTGGCAATCCTTTTTCATTCCTGGTATGGGTGATTTACTTCTCCTCTCTTCTTGACTGGTAAAGCAGACACTGTGTGCTTGGTCTTTTCAGTCATTTTGGCCATTTTTGTTGGTGGCTGTCTACGCTTCCTGGTTTTTCCTTCCTACCTGATTATTTGGGGCTGGACTTGTGTGTCTGTTCGTGGCTTCTTTGGGTGGAGTGAGATTGTTAACTGTAGTACTCCCTTCTCCTTTAACAGATCAGGTTGAAGCTATCCATTTTCCTCTACCGGGTCAGCTTTGTCTCACAGTTTTTCATACGTGATTTCAACCAAAACTTTCCTAGTTTCCCTTGTGATTTGATTCATTTGGCCTTGAACTCAGGGGTTTTTTTAATGTGCTATTTAATTTTCTTGGCAGTTCTCCAGATATCTCTCTTTCATGATTGCCTGCATCGTGGTGACACAACACTGCCTGTGATTCCGTGCGTGGATGCTTGGGTTTGTGGTGAGTCTTAGCTCGTGGATAAATTTGGTGTCCGTCCACGGCAAAATGCTTTCTACTATTGTGGACAGAGTATTGTATTCGTGTGAATAAAAAGGCTGCTTTGTGGTGGTTTTTCAAGTTTTCTGTATCCTTTCCAATTTATCAAATTTGGGAAACGGCCATTTTGACTTTGGTATTTTTCTACCCTCTTCCTCCCAGGGTATTCCATGTGTGCCGTAGGCCACGGAGGCACGGTTAACTTGCAAAATTTTGTCCCTCACTGTCCCTTGGTTAGGATAGTTTCTATATCTTCAAGTTTCTTCTCATCTTTAAGCTCATCCTCTCGATTTTGAGTTTTTTATTGTTGCTCTTCCATTTTTCAGCTAAGATTCCTTTGGTTATCCCTGCTCTCCTCACTGTTCTCGTCTCCTCCTACATCCCTGAATGTGGGTAATTAATCCCCGCCTGCTGACAGGGTTTGTCTCTGCGGCTGTTCTCAGGTCTTGGTGATGGTCTACATTTTCCCATCCTGTGTATCCAGTAACTGTTGTTGACCAGAGCTCTGCCTGCTTCCACTGAAGAGTCCCCACATTCTTCCAGCCAGAGTCACACCTGTGGGCGCTCGGTCCCCTCAGGGTTCTGTCCTTGTGGCCAAGTTGGGATGGGCAGAGCAGAGCCGCCAGTGCTCCAGGGCAGGCTCAGAACCTCAAGGGAGGCAGGCCTTTTCTCAGATCTGCAGTGATGCTTCTGCCACTCAGTGAGGCCTCTGTCTGCAGCTCCATCTGTCTGTCTCCAGCTCTCCATCAGCTCCAGGTTCTGCTCGCCTCGCGGCTCCCTGGTTGTGTTACCAAAGGCTCACTCCTTTGACCACACAGAGCCAAGGGCAGGGCCTCGAGGAAAAGGAAATAAGGTTTTTTATTTGCCAGAAGAAGAGGGGGACAGTGAAATTCAGTCTCCAAACTCTATTGTCCCACTCTTGAGAGAGAATGTCCAGTTTTTAAGGGACACTCAGGAGCTCGGTTCCAGGTACGTGATGGAGCGCAGCCTCAGACCACACAGAGGGCTTGGTTCTTAGCTCCTGGTTTACTGGTGCCACATCTCTGAAGTGGTGTGTCTTGTTGGACAGAGGTCAGAAGGATATAAAGGAAGCGATTGCCTGGGTTAGTTGAAAAACAAATGTTAACTTCAGCTTCTCAGTATGGGAAGAGAGATCATAGTTGCTAAGTAGTCCAGGGGGCAGAAGTGGCAGCAGGTATCTGCCTGGGGTTGGTCAGGCAGGGCCTGGTTATAATCAGAGGTGGTCTGTCTTGCAGAGACCCTGCTATTCCTTTCCTGAGAACAGGTTCTTCCATCTCTTGCTATAAAAATGTTATCAGTGAGTCCTGTCCTTCCTGGATTCCAAGGTGACCACAGGACAGAATGGCTCAGACCACAGATACAAAGTGGAGGCTTAGAGGCCCGGCTTTTATCAGTTAATTCGTGGGCCCAAGTTACGGAGTCTGTGCTCCTCAGCCAACTCAGCATTGAGTACTTCTTACAACTGCTCTCCGCCCAGCTCACAGGGGTCTGCACTGTGTGAAACGGCTTAGAACCCAGCAATGTGTGCCAGGGACCCCCATTTCACCACAGCACTCCCCCCTCTCCTGTGTCCCTCCCCATGTACTCCAGCCTGCTTGAGCTCTGCTGTCCGCCTCCCCCACCCAGGAAGACCACCATGCTGCTAGGACCTGGCAGTGCACAGTGACAATATAATTGCAGGCTCCTCTCAACTATCTCTCTGTCACAAGGACCCCGGTCCTCACTGGCAGTCGTCCAATGTGTGAAAACAGTCATTTGTGGCTTTTCCCCATTTTCTAGGTATTTAGGGTGAAAGGACAAGTCTAGTCCACCGTGGCACAGGGACGGCCAGTTCAATCCTTCACTCTCTTCTTTGACAATTCAAGGTCTTTCCCTGACCCTGAAACCAGCCTGCCCCTTCCCACTGTGGAAAATGCTCCAGCCAAGTTCCAACCCAAGCCGAGACACACCTACTCTGTGCAGCCAGCCTTGTCGCTGAGAGACACAAGATCATCAGGTCAGCTCTTGGGCACACTGGGCCTCATGAGTATTGTCACCAACCCCCAACCTAACCAAGTCATTGGTGTCTTGATCTGTGGGGTGATTAAGACAAGACATAGAGGCAGAGCCCGAATACAGGGGCAAGAGCAGGTGGCTGGGGGGGTAGGGGGCAGGGAGGGGCACGGGGTGCTGACCTGGACTCTAGTCACTGCTGGTGTCCTGGTGAGAAGTGAAAAGACATGTTTTTAGGGAGAGCCCAAATTCGCTTTAAGAGTGGCTAAAGCAGGTACCTAGTTATAGAACGTCAAATCTCCCTAAGTTAGAATATTAAGTTAAGGTTTGAAGCAGAATACAATAGGACAACAAGCGCACGCTCAACTGTGATAGTGAACCTCGCAGGTCAGAGTCAGCCCAGTTAGAGGGGTCAGCTAAGAGACAAGCACTGGCTTTGTACTTGACCCTGGGCCCTAGGGAAACAGACAGGTGAAAGAGTCCCAAGGGGAGGGACTCTGGTCACTTTGGCCTTTGCTGGTGGCCATGACGTCTCTGCAGGGGTAGATATGGCCTCTGGACAAGCGTGCTTCTGCCTCTAGCCATCACCTGAGTTAGTCAGCTTTCTGTCACTTCCATAAGTACCTGAGACAATCAAATACAAAGATAAAGTTTCATTTTAGCTCACGACTTTGGAGGCTCAGGTCCATGGTCAGCCTGCCCTGTTGCTTTGGGGCCTGGGATGAGGCTATGCCATGATGGGAGTACATGGGGAAAGAAGACACTCACCTCACAGCAGGAAGTGAAAGAGAGACTGAGGAGGGGTGGAGTCCCAAAGCCCCTTCAAGGCACCCACGTGTGCCAGGGAGACTTTCAACTAGGCTCCACCACTTCCCAATGGCACCAGGCTGGGGACTAAGCCTGCAGGGGACACACATCCAAATCATGGTCCTACCCTTTGTGTTTTTGCTAATTAAATTAGAAATCAAGGTAGTATCTCTCATCAAATGAAATACCAATGAAGAAAGTTTCACTTTTGGTAAAACAGTCATCATGAGCTCAGGTCCCAACTGCCAGCAGAAATGGGATAGATGGGTGGGTCACTGCCCCGTCACCTCTCAGCAAAGTCCCTCCTTGATCACAGAGTTGGCTTTGTAACTCCACTGAAATCCTTGATAGGAACTGCCATCTTCTCTCGCTTTACACAAAGGGAAGCAGCACTTTGTTCTGACCAAGTCACTTCTACAGAACACTTATTATTTTCAACTGTCTGGTCCCGTGTGTGAGGCTCACACACTGAGCTGGGTGGTGGACAATTGTGTGTGTACATCTGCGTGGTGAGTAATCCACCTTTTGGAGGGTTGGCTCCAGCATGGCAGGCACTCCGTGTCCCATCTTCCCCTTCCTCCTCTGCTGCAGCTGAGCTTACCTGATAGTCACTGGATAGAGTCATTACTTCCCCCAGCAGTCCCAGCACACCATTGTTCCAAACATGATTTTAAGTAATTTCTTAAATCAGGTGTCTGTTCTGGCCAATCGGGCAGCCCACGTGTTCACCAGGGTCATGATGTGCTAGCTGTCAGCCACCACAGCCATCACGGGCAGACATTTTCAGCGTCAGTCTCAACACTTCCACGCTAACAAGGTTCAGAGGGTGGAGAGACCAGGTGTAGACACAGGGACCTGGCTTTGCCCACCAGCCTGTTTCCACCAAGGTCTGCTCCTGACTTCAGTGGCATCACAGAGCAACAGAGGGAGCTGTTCAGGGCTGGTGGAGTGGCTCAAGTGGCGGAGTGCTTGCTTTGCAAGTGGGAAACCCTGAGTTCAAACCCCAGTTCCTCAAAGAAAAAAAAAAAGACCCACTGGCTAAAGAGCTGCAAAACCCACCCCACCCTTGCCATATGAACCCCTGGGAGCCAAGCACCTCTGCACAGGACAGCAATAATTCTGAAGGACAGCAGAGCACTAGATACAGAAGAGGAAGACGTGGCCATGGGGCCCAGGCAGGGAACGCAAATAGGGACCATGGGAGCCAGTGCTGGCTCAGAAACAGAGGCCTTTATTGATCAGTTTGCTCAAGTGCATCCAGAGAAGGGCCAGAGACACAGTGACCCTCCAGGGGCTGGCAATGTCCCCTCAGGGGAGGGCACTACCTTGGGCAGTTACTTCCTCGTAGCATTCAGCTGAGCAGCAGAGGGGACCAGCAGACACCAGGAAATGAGCGAAGTGCTAGAGCAACTCAGGATGTACCTGTCAACTCACAGGTTGAACCTGAGCTGCTGGCCCTGGGGACTGTGCCCATCAACAGCAGGGCCCACTGCAGGCAGGGCGACAGAGCAGGAACACACTGGAGGCTGCTGGGCCACAGCAGCTGGGCTGGCAGGAGGAGGCACAGCAGGAGGAATCAGGTACACAGCAGGCGGGCTTGCACACGGGGCGGCAGAGCAGGGACACACTGGAGGCTGCTGGGCCACAGCAGCTGGGCTGGCAGGAGGAGGCACAGCAGGAGGAATCAGGCACACAGCAGGCAGGCTTGCACACGGGGCGGCAGAGCAGGGACACGCTGGAGGAGGGCTTGCAGCAAACGGGCACACAGCAGGACTGCTGGCAGGGGGAGGAGGAGCAGCAAGAGGGCTCACAGCTAGACTGCTGGCAGGATGAGGAGGAATCTCCAGAGCAGATGGGCACACAGCACACGGGCTTGCAGCACACAGGCACACAGCAGGACTGCTGGCAGGGGGACGAGGTGCAGCAGCTGGTGCAGACTGACTGACTGCAGGGGCTGGACACACAGCTCACTGGGGAGCAGATGAGGGTCAGGCAGGAGGCTGGGGCACAGAAGCTGGGGGCACAGCAGCTGGGCTGGCAGCAGCTAGGGGCACAGCAGGGCTCGCAGCAGCTCTCTGGACAGTCGTCCACCTGCCAGGAGGCGTCAGTGCAAGCGTCAGAGCAGATGGACCTGGTGGACATGTTCATGGTGGGTTGGGCTGGAGGAGGGTGTGGGTGGTGTGGTGGGTGGTAGGTGGTGAGTGTATGTGGTAGGTGGTGAGTGTGTGTGAGGTGTGGGGCTGTCAGCTTTTATACCCCTCCCTGGCTGTTGTTCCGTCGCAGCTCCAGCCCCCACCCTTCCTGTTGGTGTTTGGAGCGAGTTCCTGGAAAACAAACAGCAGCTATATTTTGGTTTCCTGCATCCTGCTCAGCTTAGGAAGCTTGGCATTGCCCAGGTATCTCAGGGAGACAGGGGAGGTGGATACAGGTCATTTGGGGCCAGGGTGGGCATGCTGTCTGAGGGTGAAGGGCACGGTGAGCACATGGCCTGTGGGTCACTGAAGACTCGGGCCTCTTGGGCTACTGACCGGGCTCACGTGGACCGTGACTGTGATGCAACAGTGTATTTGTTCCTTGGGTCACATAGCAGAGCTCCATATGCTGGGTTGTTGAGCGGGCATTGCCTGCCTCATCTCACCACGTGGAGGCCAAAGTCCAAGCCCAGGCGTCACAGGCTGGCTCCTCCTGAGACCACAAAGGGTCTGCCTGGGCCTCCCAGCTCGGGGTGCTGCTGGCCTTGCTGGCGTCTGTGGTGTGCAGAAGCATTGCCTCCCTGTGTCCAAATCGCCCATTTTTATAAGGACACCAGTCAACTAGATTAGAGTCCCAGCCAGTGACCTTGTCTTAGCTTGATCGTCTACAAAGACCCTATTTCTAAATGAGGTCATAGTCACAGGTACTGGCATTAGGACTCCAATGAAGACCTGCTGTGAAGAGACCCAATGGCTGAGTCAGGCACTGAAGGACAAGTCCAGCCACAGCCTCTCTCATGGACTCTGGCCTGGAGCAGGTGCAGTTCGGTGGAGAGCAGGCCTCACAGGAAGTGAGGCCATTGCAGAACTGCTTGTGGACACCGGCTTCAATATGTAGGCTGATTTTTTAAAATTTTACTTTACCAAACAATTGTTAAGAGGAGAGAGAGACCCATGTCCTCCTTGCCAGCTTCCTCTGGTGTTCCCACACAGGCATCCACAGGTCAGTCACAGGTCTATACATTAACAACAAAAGACTAACCCACTCATTTTGGCAGTCGGCACAAGAGCCCTTTGGCTCAGGACCCCACACGACTTGGGGAACGCCCTTCCGGTCTGCAGCAAACTGACACTCTCTCAGTCGTCCTCATTTGTGACCTTGACTCTTAGGAAGTGTTCCCCAGTGTGGGCCTGCCTGGTATTTTCTCATTTACACTGGGGTTAAATCGGGGGACCATCCCACAGTGAGGTGTGGTCACACTGCAAGAGGCCAGCAGGTCTTACCACTGGCGACATCTTAGCTATTTTCCCCTCGTTAGTAAAGGTGTGAGGGAGACTTCTTGAGACTTTGCAAATATCCCATTGCTGTGTAAAACGTCTGCCCAATACATTTTTGCACTGCTCTGGGAACCTGACCCACAGCCATGACCCCTGGGGGCTCTGTTGGGGTTTTTCTACCCCCGTCCCATCTTTATTTGTGAATTGAAATGTGAGGTAGAGCTGTCCCTTTCCTCCACTCATTTATTTGTTCCTTTATTTACTTATTTATTTCAGTATTGGGAAAGAATATTTATTTTGTTGTTTGAACATTAGCATTTATTTATTTTGTTCCAGCTGGCCCAACTTTTACCATCAGGAGCTCTTCCATTTGGGTTGTGGGATCCTTCACACGTGGAACCTGAGGGCGGCCCATCTCCTGAGGTTTCCTCCCTCATGCTGGAGCTGGAGGCTATTCCCAGTCTCCCTCGCCAGGAGGCTGAGATGTGGGCATGGGGCACTGGCCAGACCCCAGGGACAGCCATGTGGCAGGGACAACCATGTGCTTATTGTGGCCTCACAACAGACCCTGCCCTGCTTCCCGCTGTTCTCATGGGCCTTGTCAGTGAGCTGCTTCAAGAAAAGGGTGTTGGCTGTTGTCCCCATAGCCTGGAAGTGACCCCAAGACTCCTGCCACAGTGCACTCAGGCCATGACCCTTATTGCTGCAAGGAAGAAACTAGGAAGGGTGTTCCTGGGATTTCTGGGGCATTCTGAGGCTTCTTGGAGTCTGGAGGGCCTGTGTCTGCCCAGGAATGGTCCAGCAGTCTCTGTAGGAAAGGGACACCTTATCCCAGCCTGGCCTGGTGCTGCTGCCCACACACAAGGGCACGGGGTAGGAATACATCTGCTCTTCTTTTCAACCAGGGTCTTGAAAGGTTTTCACGGGGACAGGCATCCAGCCATGCTCTGAAGTCTTGACCAGGGCTGGGCCATTGTGAAGATCAACTCACATGAGACATTTGAAGCAGTAGTCCTGGCGTCAAGGATCAATAACACTGGTGTGTCTGAAGCCGAACATAGAGTTGGGTAGATGCCCTTGTGGAAGTCTCCTGTGTGAGTTGCGGTGTCCTCTGTGCCACCGGTATCCCTGGCCGAGTCTGTCATGGAGAGTTGTCAGTGGCACCTGGCTTGGGGTCCTCTCCTTCATAGCATTTCAGCCATATTTATTTACTTTGGCTGGGGCTTGACACGCTTGACACAAAGACTCCATGTGGTTCTGACAATGTTCACAAAGTAAAACACTGAAATGTCCAGGCTGTGGCTTGTCCCCACCCCAGCTGCCCACAGATGCTGGCTGTCCCAGTCACCTGGCAGGGGAACACCGCCTAACCCACCTGTGATGCCTTTGACACAGATCTGCGTCCCCTGGACATCCTGGCAGAGGTGGTCCCTCCGAATGGTGCCGCGGGAGGAATCCAGACCGTGCAGGCCCAGGGCGCATGGGGCCTCCAGCTCTCGGCTGCCAGCCCCCGCGCCGTGAGCTTCCCTGCCTCCAGGATTTTCTCCAGATGTGACCTCTTGCCCGAAGAGTTCTCCATCGTCGTAACCTTGAAAGTCCCCAACCTTCCACCCAAGGTCAGTGGCAGTTTTTCTTCTGTCAGGAGCACCTGAAGCTCCCAATACCCATGCCGGCAGGGTGCAGGGCTGACCTGGTCTTGCTGGTGGTGCGGCCCCCATCACTGGCGGAGTGGGGCAGAGTCTGCATGACCACTGGCTGGTATCTCCTGCAACTGTGAGCAGAACGCTTAGAGTTTTTATCCTGACATCCACTGGCAGATGTCAGCAGTGAGATCTCACGTACAAACCTACACTTTGTAGGCTTTGTGGTGTGTGGCCCCATCAACCCCAAATCTAGCCTGGGAGACGGGGAACAGTGGTGTCTCTCTCTGCCCTGTACACATACTGACACACATACGTACAATCACACACTGACTGACACACAGACACACAAAGATTCCCAAATACACACGGACACACATGGGTTCTGGGACAATACATAGTAAACAAAAATGAATTTTTATTTCCAATTCAGAATTAAGAAACCAATTAAAAAGCAAAGCCCCATGTGGCAGGCGTGCGATGGGTTTCCTCCAGTAGCAGGCCACGATCCTGGGACCTCCCTGACCCCTTCATCATCCCCTCTCCCCCAACCTGCCCAGCCTCGGAGTCAGCACTTCCCAGACTTACCGTCTCCCTCCTATTCTTCACCTCGGCTCCAGTGTTTCAGGCTCAGTTCTCCATCTTCTCAGTGTCCCCTTGAATGGGACTCCAACATTTGTATCCAGTGACCCTCTGTGGACAGTCCCAGTGCATGGGCCCCAGGGGGCAGACACTGGTGTTGGACTTTCAGTTCTGCTCAGTTGTTCTTTATTTTTACTTTATTCACCACACAAGTCACACATTTAAAGTTCATGATTTGAGAATTGTTAGTGTGGTCACCGATGTGTGCAGTCAATTTTAGGGTATTTTCATCACTTCAGAAGAAATCCTGTGCCCTTTAGGCATCCCCAACCCAGCCTTAAGGAGCAATGAAATCTCTCTCTAAATCTCTCTCCCTGGGGTCACCCTGCACGTTGCATATAAGCAGAATTATGTAACTTGTTTCTCTTGTGATTGCCTCTCTTGCTTACCATGGTAAAATCTTCATTGAGAAGTTGAATTTTCTTTTCTGATCTTCTATTTCAAGATCATCTTGGCTGTTCTGGGTCCCTTGAAATGATGTACTGATTTTCAAATCGACATCTGCAGAGAAGTTAGCTTGGCTTCTGGTAGGAGGTGGGGAAGTCTGTAGATCAATCTGGGGATCAACACTATTACAACTTCTGGTCCATGGACAGGTGATGCTTTTCCACTGATTTGCATCTGTAACAAAACAAAAGTAATATTTTCTAGTTTTCAGAGTTGGGTCTTGTGATTAATTTGTTAAATTTATTCCCATGGACTTTTTTCTTTTTGATGCCATTATAAATGGAATTATCTTAATTTCATTGTTTGCTCGTACATTGCAAGCAGACAGATATACAGTGGGTTTTGTATATTGACCTCATATCATGTAACCTGAGCTGGTTTGCGAGTTTTCATAGTTTTTCACTTGATACTGTATGGTTTTCACTAATGAGATCATGCCCCCTGAAAATAGAGGCAATGTTTTTACCTTCACAATTGGGATGCCCTTTATTTATTTTTGGCTGAAGTGTCCTGACTAGAAGTGCCAGAACTGCGTTGAACAGAAGCGGCAGGAGTGGGCACCCTGTCCTGCTCCCGCTCGTAGACAGTTTCACTCAGCACGATGTTAGCTGTGGGTTTTTAAAAGACACCCTCTCCAGACAAAGAAAGCTTCCTTCCACCCCTGGCTTGCTGAGAGTTGTCCTTCACCATGTGCTTTTTCTGTGTTTATCGAGATGGTCTTATCATTTTTGTCTTTATTTTGCTGATGTTCTGTGTTGCATTGATTGATTTTCAGATGCTAAACCAATCTTCATTCCAGAGATAAATCTGGAATGAAAATATGACCATTGTGCTAGTCAGCTTTGTGTTACTCTGACAAAATACCTAAGAAAATCAACTTATAAAGAGGAAAGGTTTATTTTGGCACAAGGTTCCAGAGGTTTCAGTCTATGGTCAGGTGGCCCTGTCACTTTGGGTCTATAGTGAAGCCGCACATCATGGTGGGGGAAGTGTGGCAGACAGATCTGTGAAACAAAGAGTGGAGAGAGGAGCCCAGGACCCCAGTATCCCCTGCAAGGGCCACACCCCAATGACCTCACTTCCTCCCACCAGGCCCCACCTCCCAAAGGCCCCACCAACTCCTAAAACACCGCAGGCTGGGTTACCAAGCCTCCAACACATGGGTTTTAGGGATCATTTAGGATCCAAATTACAGCAGCCGCAGCGCCTGACTCTTTTTGTCAGATCCCGTCTCCCAGTACTTTGTTGAGCATTTTTGCACCAATATCGTGACAGGAAATGGTCTGTCGTTTTCTTCTTTGGTGACATTTCATCTGGTGACAGTATGAGGAATGCTGTCCTTGTGGAATGAGTAGTTCTCTAGTTTTGAGGCGAGTGTGTGAAGAATTGGTACCAATCCACCTTAGTTTATTTCTCCATAATGTTTATTATCTCCCCGCCTTGAGGGTCAGTTTCTCCAGGACCTCGGGCAGCAGGTCAGGCTATCAACTTGAGACCTTTCCTAGTGTTACAGGTGTTCACAGCTGTCCGTTTCACTAGCGCAGTGCTGGTTCAGATTCTCATTTTCATTCACCCGACACCTCTTTTGATTTTCCTTTTCATCTCCTCTCTGGCCTCTTGGTTTTCAATGACTGTGTCATTCAACTTCCGCGTTCCTGAGTTTTCCCATTTTTTTCTGTTTTTCACTTTTAATTTCATTCCGTTGTTGTCAGACTGCATCCTTTGTATGATATCCATCTTTTTTAATTTACTGAGGTTTGTTTCACGGTCTAGCATGCACTTTATTCCAAACAGAAGGACTCTGTCACAGGAGCGTGCGCAGATCCCTGTCCAGGTTCACTGGTCCCTTGTGTCATTTGAGTCTTCTGTTTCCTTGTCGATCTGTCCAGTTGTTCTATGATACTGAGACTGGGGCATTTAAATCTTCAGCTAACGTGTTGAATCGTGAGGCTCTCATTTCCACCAGCTTTCGCTTCGTGCGCTTTGGTGTTCTGTTATTGTTTGCATATATGTTTGTATTTGTTATAGCTTCCTAAAGCCCTGACCATTTTGTCTATAAAATATCCCTCTTTAACTTTTATGAAATTGTAATTTTAAAGTCTATTTCATCTGATCTGAGCCTAGCCACCTCAGTTCCCTCGTGTTTGCTGATAGATGATAGTCAGATATAAACACACACACATGTCCACTCTTTTGCTTTGGGTCTGCTGAGGTGTCCCTCCTGCAGCGTTGAAGCCTGTTTGTTAGAATGTGGTCTGACACGCTCCGCTTTTTACTTGTTTGTTTCACTCACACTTACTGTCGTTGTTGGTACACATTTGACTCTTGTTATTTGGAGGTTTTGTAGTTCACTTGCCAAAATTGATTTGTAATCCCCAAATCAGCACATGGGGGTTGCAAATCACGAGCATGCCGAGTGGTGAGATGTTTGAGTCTCTTGATACACATTTCCCCAGCCGAGCTTCAACAAGGCACGAGTCTGCCTTTGTTTCTCTCGTGTGTCTATTTAGTACCACACATTTTTGTGCCTTTTTTTTGGTGATTTTTGCTTAGAATGGCCCTTGGACAGTCGTGGAGGACTGACTGGTGCTCCACAGCAGGACGGCGGTGGTGCGCCTGTGGAGAAAGTCAGACGGAGCTGCAGAGGTTCCTCTGAGTGTAAAGACTACACACATAGCAAGATCGCACTGATGAGTTCAAGTGTGGCCAGAGCTCTGACGAGCAACGGGACAGGCTTTGCTAACCCAGTGTTTGCCACGATTTTGTGTAAGACCTTTACTGTGACGGTGAGAGCCCACGTCAGCCGGACTTGTGTCTGCTGTTCCTCCGTTTGTTCCCTTACGCCTCTCACGCACTTTCAGTCACCAGTCCTCTCCCCCCTTACGGTTATCTTTTGCAGTGAGTGAATATTTTGATTTTCTAATGTAGCATTTTGATTTCTTTAATGGTTTTTCACTATTTTTTTCAGCTTTTCCTTCATGGGTGTTCTGCAAAGCAGCAGAATCAACTTTAGATTTGAACTAACAGCTCCAGTGAGATAGAAAACAAACGTGCCTTTCCTCTTTGCCCTTCCAGAGGTCTTGTTGTGAGACATATTAGTTCTACAAGTGTTTAAAACCCAACAGCGTACTGTTAAAATTACTTTCCTCAAGTCAGTGGCTTTTGAGGAGTCTCAGAGAGCAAGTACATTGACACTCTGAGCACCTCCATTTCCTCTGTGGATTCAGGGTGCCATCTGGAATCCTCCTTTCCCAACACAGCTCTGCCCCTGTGGGCCTCGGGCTCCCTTTGTGCTGTTTCAGCAGATGGACTTGCTTCCACATGTTACAGGTCCATCAGTACATTGTGCCCATCTTTACACAATGGCACTTTTCTCCCAAAAATCATATCATCACCTTTACTGGTAGTCTTCATTTCTCACAGCGAATTTCTGCTAGTAGTCACATGTGTCCTGTCTGAAGAAGTCCTTTAGGTATATTGTGAAATGAGTCTGCTGGCAGCGGATACCCTCCATTTTTATTTATACGGGGATGTTTTTATCTTGCCTTCATTTTTTAACTATAGATTTATTGGGTACAGGATCCTGGGAGGAGAATTTGGACGTCTCCCACTGCCTCTGGCCTCCCTGTGTCTGAAGGAAGTCAGCCGTCACTCTCCCCAGGAGTCAGGGTCTCTGTCAGTGCCTCATCCTTTACTGTGATACGTCTATTTGTGGATCTTTTATGTGGATTTGATTTGGAATTTGCTGAGCTTCCTAATATGTAGATTGACATTTATCAATAAATCTGCCAGTTTTCAGCTGTTATTTGAAATATTCTGGCCTGGCTTTGCATGGGGTGCACCAACAGAGCCCCAGCTCTGCCCATCAGTGCTCAGCAAGGCCCCAA